ACGGGGCCTGGGGGGAGGGGACGGGCCCAGCAGAGAGCGACCTCCGGGGTGCAACGCCCGGACGGAGTTGGGGAAGGGCGTTGTGGGGTTGGGGACACGGGTCTGGAGGGTGAGGTGCTGGGGCCGAGGGTCTAAGGTAAGGAAGGGAAGAAGGAGTCCGAGGTGCGGACAGCGCAGAGGAACACCGGTCCCGGGGGGCGTGGTGGGGTGCGAAGGGAGAAGCGGGCCAAGGCCCCGCAGACGCCAAGGCGCACGAGGCGGTCCTGGGGCCCCGGGTCGGGCACGGAGGGGGGGGTGCGCCATACCTGCACAGGTGGCGCAGTCTCCGAGCCGCTCCCACCGGACCCTCGTGACCACCGCCCCCGTCGCCGCCGCCGCAGCTGCCGCGGGCCGCCTTCCCACGTGATTCGCGCAGGCTCCGGAGGGGGCGGGGCCATGGCGAGGCCCGCCCCTGGCGTCCGGAAGTGCCGGTCTGTCCGAGTGCGCGTGTGCACTGGTTGCCGTGGAGACCAAGGAGGCGTTAGGCTGCCAACGACGCCGGCGCGAGTGCGGGCGGGGCAGGAAAGCCGCACCTCCCCGGAGCGGCTGGCGCTGCAGCGACCCCGCGAAACGGGGCTGCCCTTTGCTACCGCGTGTTCGGTGTTTCCAGAGCAAACATGCACCCCGAGGTCTTGGAGCCCCCGGCGGAAGAGGGAGAGAAACCGGACTGCGAGCGGGAGCCGGGTGTGGTGCCCGGCGTGGAGGAGTCTGCGGGCGACCGCGGGAACGCAGGCCAGGGGGACCGCAAGGAAGGTGCTGACCACCGCCCCAGGGAGGCGGGGGAGGCGACGGGCTGCGCCCAACCCCGCGTACCTGACCTTCACAGCCAGCACTAGCAATAATAATAGTAATAGCGGCCCACACTGATTAAAGGACGCCTGCCAAGCGCTCACCGCATTTGAGCCATACACCCGCCCTCTGCGTTAGGCACTCCTCTCCCCATTTAATACAGATGAGGAAACTGAGACTGAAAAGGTTCTAGAACTTGCTTCAAACAGATTACCCTCAGCCAGTCAATAACAGAACAGACTCGGAGCCCAAGTCCTTAGCCAACACTCCGTTTCTCTCCCCGCCCAACCTTTTTATGTTTCGAATGTATCCCATTATTGCTATCACCATTTAAGATCAAAAGATGCCGGAGCGGGACATCTTAATTGGATTCACAGTGTCCAGTCCAGTGCCTGACTCATGCTGAGAGGGTGAAGGAAGAGCTGGCAGGTCTGAGGTTAGCAGGTGACTCCTTGCCGGTTTCCCAGAATGGGCACAGAAAGCAGGTTTTCAGCCTCTGCTCCCACTTAGCTTGGGGCCCTAAGGAAAACCTATTAGTGACTAGATAAAGAAACTACTTGATTTGTGTTTCATTTTTTGAACCTAGTTCAGCCAATATATCTTGAGCGTCAACTGTCCAGGCAAGCCCTGCCTGAAGAGCTGTTGAAAAGCTCTGGGGAAAGCTCCGTAGAGATTGAAGCTCTGCAACTGGCCAGCTTTATGGCTGTTGGCCCAGAGCTTAACCTCTCTGTGGAGCAGTGTCCTTGTCTGCAAGCAGGGATATTGTATAGGGATAATTAGAGTTTCTGTCATACAGTGGGCCATTAATAAATCATAGCTCTTGTTATTATTATGTATTTTGGGCACCTATTCTTTATTTCGCAAACCTTTGTCTGGTGCTCCTTGTAGCTGAGCATTGTACGCAGTGGGAAGTGGAGAAGTGTAAGACCCAGCCCCACACATGGAGGGTAGAGTTCCATTCGACAGACTTCACAAACACACAGCAGAAGCCAGCGATCCTTAAGGTTAAGTGTGTTTGAATTGGCCAATTAAAAAAATTTAGGTGCATTGGAATGTGCTCATTGCCACTATTTTTGTTTGGTTTTGTGTTTTCTTTTGAGAACTTTTTAAAAAGGAACAGAGACCCTTATACCGAACACTCATGTATCACCACTAAGAACTGAAAATAATTAACATTTTTATCATATTCACTTGAAGTCTTTTTTAATTAAGTAAATAAAACATTTCAGATGATTTGTATTAAATTTATTGGGGTGACATTGGTTAATAGGATCATATAGGTTTCACATGCACATTTCTATGATACATGATCTGCATATTGCATTGTGTGCCCACCACCCAAAGTCAAATCATCTTCTGTCACCATGCATTTCAGATCAATGTGATGTTCCCCACCTCACCCCCAATTCTAGTCCCATTCCTTTCTCCCCCCAAAAATGTATACACACTTTTAATAATTATTAATTCCAATGGGTTAAATCTGAAAAGAAACGTCAATTGATATGTATGTGTGTGTATAATGTTTTTAAACAATGCATAGCATTGGTTTGTGTTTTTAATTTATATAAATGGTATCCTGTGTTTATTATGAAACTTGCCTTTTTCACTCTATGTGTGTTTCTGAGAATTAGCCACATTAGTGATGTAGCTCCAATACATTATTTTCCAAGGCAGAATAATAATCCATTGTTTTATTTAACTAGTTCCTATGGATGGACATTTGCACTGTTAACAGTTTTTGGCTGTTACAAATAATGCATAAATGAATATTTTTGTCCATGTTTCCTTATGCACCTATACGAGAGCTTTTACAGAGGACCTACTGAGAAGCAAAATTTCCTTACTTCTTTAAAAATTGTTATACATTTAAAGAGTACTGGTGTTCTATACTATAAGCAGACAGTTATTAATCAAGTTGAAATTGGGTACACTTTTAAATACATTTCTTGATCTCCATAGAACCAATCTCTTATTTTCACAGAAATTAATGATCCTAAGGAATCATGTGCGGGTCCTTCGGACACATCCTACAAAAGTGAGCAGAAACAGAGTGGTGATAGCAGGTCAGACGGTTGCTTAGCACACCAAAGAAGTGACAAAGAAGATGATGGCCCCAGGTACGTGGGCACGGTGCTGCCAATTATAGCACACATTTTACCAAGTAAGGGAGATGGTATAATCACCCCATTGTACAGATAAGAAAATGAGGCTCGTGAAGATTAAATAGCCCAGTGTCTGTAGTGGTGGAGTCAGGGCAGCCTGCCTCTGTGGCACAACTAACCACAACCAATCAAACTTTAATGCCGAACCTGGAGAAAAACACCAGTAGTTCTTGATTACACTATCAAAAGTATTTTTATTAGATTATACATTTCAATTTTTAAGAATGCTGAAAGTAACAATATTGGATGAGGCCTTGAAAGCTATACAAAAAAAAAATAAAGAACTTAAAATAGTTATCAGGCATATAGGGTGTTGTGGATTTGAGGGAAGGAATGAATGTGGTAAAGAATTTTTGGAATATATTTCAGAGCTGACAAACTCAGATTTCTTGTTCATGTTTTTCAATGTTTAGAATGACTAAACATTTCCTACAGAAACTCTGCAAGCAACACAAGCTTTATATTACCCCAGCATTGAATGACACGCTGTACTTACACTTTAAAGGTAAGGATCTAAGTAAAGGAGTTGTCTCAGTCAGGCAGAAAGACTCTGGTGGCATTAAAAAAGTACTTCCAGGGATCATCTGGAGTTCTCAGATTATATTTAAGTAGAAAGTTCAGAGTTTAGTGGAGATTTATGGAAAAGCAATAGTATTTCTTTGAAGAAAAAGTCTCACCTTAGCGCTTATAAGAGCTTATAAAGGGGCCACTGGCTCTGTGGATACAAGGGAAACACATTGGTATCTTCTATTTAAGTTTTCCAAAGACTTAATAATTTTTCAAGTCAGAAGCTAGTTGTAAATGCTTCGGGCTTGGGAGAGATATGTTGTGAAGGGTTGAGGACTGGCATAGAAAACAAAGGATGAGGGTCATGGGGTGCCTCTCAGAACAGAGAGGTATAAATAGTGGCATCCCCAAGGACTCAGGGTTGGTGTCTAGTATCTTATATAAATTAAGTTCAGGTTCAGAGACAGGGATATTCCTTGCAATGATAAAGAGTGGTAACTCCCAAGGGATGGTCCACCTGCCTCATCAGCCCTCTGTGTTATTTGGTAAATAGTTACTGAGGGCCTCCTGTGTGCCTGGCATTGCTCAGTGCTAGAGACACAGAGATAGATGGGCAAGGGTGCCTTTGGTGTCCTGGGGAATGGTGCAGCCACTGTGAGGAGCACTGGGCCAGGGAGGTTCATGAACAGCTCTAGCAGCACAAATGCCGTAAGAGTTTGGAAAGACTCCCAACTAGCCTCCTCACCTCCACATTGTCACCTCCAAATTTCTCCACCACTGTCCTTGTGTAGCAGTGATAAGATGACTTAGGAGGGCAGATCTAAGGGGATCAATATTTAAAAGGCAGAAGAAGAGGACCCAGTAGGTGAGACCAAGTAGAAAGAGTCAGAGAGGCAGACCAGCTGGGCGAGAGATGTGTCCATTATCTACTGCGGTGGAACAGCTTATCCCCAAACTTAGCAACTTAAATTCATCATCTCACACTGTTTACAGGGCCAGGAATCTGGGAATGACTTCGCTGAGTGGTTCTGGCTCCAAGTTTCTCATGAGGTTGCAGTCAAGCTGTTGACTGTTTTGCTAACCTTCAATTTGGCTCATAAAGCTGAAAAATGAATGAAAACAAGACCCACAGTTTGCACTAGCTTCAGGCTTAGCTTCATCCTGGGGCTCATAATGTATCTTCATGAGGTTCACTCTCTCTCCTCTTCTTGGCCCTGCTTTCCTCTGATTCATTTCAGACAAGCCATCTCTCACCTTCACGCACTCTTAGCCATGAAGGGAAGGTAGCTGGCCACTCCAACATAAAGACTGCCTTTTTCCAGTGGAGCCAGCCACCCTCCCCAGGATTCACCCAAGTTGGCCCCACCTGTCTAAGCATGACCAGCCCAGAATGAATCGTTGTGACTCTGAGAGCCATGGGGTAGTGTCAAAGAGGGATGTTCCTCAAAGCAGAGTAGCAGTACCGTCACTTGAGGAAGGGGGTGTGGATGCTAGGCAGGTAGGCAGAAACAAGGGTGACTCCTGTGTCTCTTATGTGCACGGAGGAGCTTAATCGACATCCCCTTCTCCCTAGGTTTCGATCGCATCGAGAACTTGGAAGAGTACACAGGGCTGCGTTGTCTCTGGCTGGAGTCCAATGGAATACAGAAAATCGAGAACCTGGATGCCCAAACCGAATTGCGTTGCCTCTTCTTGCAAGTGAACTTGCTTCATAAAATCGAGAACCTAGAACCTCTGCAGAAACTGGATGCTCTCAACCTCAGCAACAATTACATCAAGACCATTGAAAACCTCTGTGAGAATGCCCCACTTGGGGTCTTTTTAAATGCCATTATGTCCACTGCTTTACCTGGGGGAGGTTCTAAAATTTTATGTTATGGGCAAGAAACGTTTTATACCTTTGTTGTTTACTTCTGCTGACCTCACCTTCCAGCCTGTCTGCCTGTCCTGAACACGCTCCAGATAGCCCACAATCACTTAGAGACGGTGGAAGACATTCAGCATCTGAAGGAGTGTTTGAAACTTTGCGTTCTTGACCTTTCCCACAATAGGCTGAGTGACCCCGAGATCTTGAGCATCCTGGAGAGCATGCCTGATTTGGTAAAACACACAAAACTTGCCTATTTTAATGTTCTTTAGATATGAAATCTCTTCTCTTCTCTCCTTCCTTCTCTCCCTCCTTTCACACTCTTTCCCTCTTTGTATTTTTAGCTGGAGTATCTTAAATGCCAGATGCTAGATCATTTCACCCACAAATATTTTAGTGTGTATCTCTGACAGATAAGGACCCCCTTTTTTTTTTTAGCACAAAGTACTGTTGTTATATCTAAAATATTGTAATACAGTAGTGCCTCGGTTTTCAAATGTACTGCGTTCCAGAAGACCATTTGAGTTCTGAAATGTTTGAAAACCGAGGGATCCACAGCCCACAGCTAGGCCTCAGGATCTTGCCCTCAGTGGATGCCGCGTGGCCTTTTGAAAACCAAAGCATTTACTTCCAGGTTTACGGCGTTTGTAACCCGAAATGTTTGTCAACAGAGATGTTCGAAAACCGAGGTACCATTGTAACTATATTTAATATGTAGGCCATGTTCAATTTTTCCCATTTGTCTCAAAAAAATGCATTTTGACCATTGGTTTGTTCAAATCCAAACCAGATCCACGCATCACATTTGGATTATTTTTGTCTCTCAGACCTCCTGGTCTCTCACTGTCCCCCCCCCCCACTCCA